TATTGTGCGGAGCGGTAGTGTAGCTGTTAGCACGCTGCGCTGCGAACCCGGCAACCCGAGTTCAATTTCAGCTCACGGCCAACACCAGTAACGATGATTTCAATCGATCCTGGGCCTCCCCTATGTCTACTCAGCATCAAATGAGCACCTGGTGCTGTATTTAGACATCATCACTCAGGAGACAAATGTGGCCGGGCGTGGTGCTGGCTACCCATCCCCTCGTATGCCGTGCCGGCCTTCATAGGTGTTCGCTAGCAGGACTTGCCCCAAGAGTCTGTTAAGGATATACGGGGGATCTTTGTCTTTGTGTACGTACATGTTATTGGAGGCAGTCGCCCTCCAGCAACAACGGAGGGCAGAGAAGCCGCGCTCACAACAACGAGCGGAGCGACGGGTGAATAAAACACAGTAATTTGGCGCAGTATGGCGCATCTGTCTGGGTAAGTCAACCCGTGGCACCTGGGTCTGCCCCGTGACCTCCTGTCAGACCAGCCAGCGAGCCTTCGACTGTGCACAAGTTATTTTTCTCTCTACGTAATTACAAGCATGAATCACCTCTCCGCAATCCTTCACAAGCGCGTCAGTTTTTGTTGTTGCACGTTATTTGAAAGAGGTGCTATGAAGAAGGACCATTACCAGAAACGTCGCCTATTATATATCCTAAAGTGTTCAGTTCATATGTGAAAGAGTGTGTGGTAATGTGAATTCGCCCCCGTTTGAAAATGCAAGTTACACATTCTTGCATAGCCAACGCACATATAAAGACTGTTATGTACACCACGTACAAAGCCAGGGTTTTGTTCCGTTTAAAACAACATTCCTTTCATACAACTGCGACACGTGAGGCTTGCAACCGCAGTACTCTGCAGGAACTGTGAAAAATCAGGCAACCCTTATTACACGCACAGAGAGAGAAAGACAAGGATCCCTCGTGTATTATCGAGCACCTATTAAAGCCAGAAGGGCGCAACAAGGCGGGGTCGGTGTGTGGAGCAATCACGCCCATTCCGCCTTCATCTCAACCAATGCTGATGTTTGAACAGCGCACCAGGTACTCATTTAAGGCTGAGTCGACCGAGGGAGGTTCAGATAATCACCACTGTTATTGGCCGTGAGCGGAAATCTGAACTGGAACCGCCCGAGTGCGGAGTTCAGTGCGCCCCACACACACAGATAAAGGCAAAAATCCCCCGTATAGCTTTAACAGACTTTTGGGACAAGTACTGTTTGCGAGCACCTATCAAGGCCGGTCCGGTCCACAGGGTGTTGGGTAGCCAACACCACGCGCGGCCGCCTTTGTCTCCCCAGTGGCGATGTTCAGACACCGCACCAGATACTCATTTGAGGCTGAGTCGACCTAGGGGAGGCCCAGCACCGGTTCAGATAATCGTCACTGGTGGTGTTGGTCGTGAGCGGCAAACGAACTCGGGTCACCGCGTTCGCAGCGTGCTGACCCACACAGACAGATCACACACTCGCATGGCACGCGTTTATTTAATGTCGCAAGATTACTGCGGCGATTAGTGGTGTTGCTAACACGCACGTGTGCAGCCCTCTAATCGTCGCGGATTAACGGCTCCCTGTGTTTTCACAAAAACCGTCAGCGATGTTGGTACATGAGCCGAGAGCGGCATAACAGAGAGACACCCTGTGTAAATGAATGAGGCGGAGTGTTCACTGCCAACGTAGCAGCGACCACAACTCACGATTCATAGCGATGTTTTATTTACACGTTCTTTATTTAGCGAGAAACGCAGTCGCGTAAAAGTCCCACCGACACTACAATGCACGACTAGAATTTGTGACGGTAACGGTCCCACCTGAAACGTCGTGATGTAATTGATTTATTTTCTTTTTATTTTATTTTTATTATTTTTTACCTACGTGACTTTACCGAAAAAACCTAAGAGTTTAAATAGTGATGTTTGTTGCTGTTCACTTGGCGTTCTGGCCCTGTGCTCAGCAACTGCGATTTTTTTATTTTATTTCAAATGTGGTTGTCATGACCCTCCAACCCCACAACTCATCACATTCAACGCCTGAAACCACTCTCAGCCACAGCTAATCGATGAACCGTCACGAAATTTGACCAATTTTAAAATTGCGCCCGAAACGTCGTGATTACATTTATGTTATTTTTTATACCTACGTGACTTTACCGAAAGAACCAAAGAGTATGGATCCCTGTAGTCACGAAAACTTCAAATCTAGATTGAATTTTTAAATTACACCGTAAATTACTTAATTGGGATTAAACAGCAGCAATCATCACCCGCTACTGGCAGATTGATGCCCCGAGATACTCTCGCAAACGAGACTCAATCCTACTCTCCTGAGTTCTGATCTGGTTAGATTCAGTAAACCTCAAACTTAAATTGGGCCCGATTAGAGTTGAATATTGCTCCCTCTAGTGGCTGCAGTTGTACGAACATGAATCCGGCCGTTGGTGATGCTGTCATTCACCACAATGTTTTTTTTTTAAATAAACTCCACCACCAAATGTCCGATTGAGGTTCGAACAGTGCACTCATATGGACAAAACTAAAGTGTGCGTTTAGGTTGTAACCCCCTGGAAAATTTTCAGACTATAAGCTTAACACTCTTTATGGCATATAAAATATAACAAAAACATCGTGGCCCGTACGGGGATCGAACCCGCGACCTTGGCGTTATTAGCACCACGCTCTAACCAACTGAGCTAACCGGCCAGTTGCATGGCATCTTTTCTTAAAACACCTTTAAGGATGAGTTGACAGGACCGCGTGTATAAGAGCATTTGCACGTTAATTACATCATTAAAACTGTTAATTAAGTAACTTGGGCTTGTTTCGGATACCTCACAGCTGGATATGAATGATGGACCGAATCGTCAAAGATTAATAAAGGAGTGAACCGAGGAGATAGAGCGATGCAAGGTTGACTTTTAATTACACAGCAGGGGAGCGGTGGTATAGTGGTTAGCGCGCTGCGCTACGAACCCGGGCCACCCGAGTTCGATTCCTGCTCACGGCCAACACCAGTGACGGCTATCTGAACCGGTCCTGGGCCTCCCCTAGGTCGACTCAGCCTCAAATGAGTACCTGGTGGAATGTGTAAACATGGCCACTAGGGAGACAAAGGCGGCCTGGCGTAGTGTAGGCTACCCACCCAACCCTGTGCCGTTCCAGCCATTTCAGGATCATCCAGCAGTGGATTGACCTTGGCTGCTGCTGCTGCTAATGATGAGACTGCCCTCCTTTGGTGAGGTCCGGGTTGAATGGGGCGTTGCCAATGGCTTGACCAATCACAGTGAGGTCGTGGCAACTTCCACGTGTTCACTGTCTGTGCGCGCACGTGTCAATCCACCGCTGGATGAATGCCCCCCCCCCCACGCCCCCTCGGGTCCGTGGGAGTTATTTGACCATATTTCACCACGTAGGCACACAACAAGCCTATGGCACCTTGTTATGCACTTTCCTGTCTCGAGCCGTGTGATTGGGTCATAAAATATAACTGGCCATGCTGTACAATTATTTTGATAATAGCGGACAGTAAGTTCATGTTAACGAGCGTTTAGAACAATACAACGGATTTTGTTGCATGTCATCCAACATTTCACTGTTACTGATCACTGTTACATTGCTTTCATGGCTTTATTTTGGTGATTTCGAAAAGTTTTTTGGTTTTGCCATGTTTGTTTGTTGTAGTACGGAGTTAAAATGATGGCTTTAATCTAAGTTGCCTTGTGATTGTTGTTGTTGTTTGACTTGTATCCCACTCGGATTTTTGCACAGCGTTGGTGTACGGTGCTTTTTTCTGGAAGACTTTGCAGTTTTTTCCTGGATTTTTCTGTTTGCGCATAGTCACTTTAAGATGTTTTCTTGTTCATGTTTTTGTTTGTTGCGGTTGCACCCGATTGAAGAGCCGAATGGCTCACAGGGCTATACCTAATACATGAACTTGAATCTAAGTTGTCTTGTGGTTGTTGTTTGATTTGCATCCCACTGGGATTGTTGCACACAGCGTTGGTGTACGATGTTTTCTTGTTCATGTTTTTGTTTTTTGCGGTTGCACCCGATTCAAGAGCCGAATGGCTCACAGGGCTACAACTAATAAATGAAACTGAAAACTGAAGGTTGCATACCTGTCAACCCCTTATCAGTGTCCCTACCTTATTACAGACCGATTCAGACCTTATTGGTCACCCCGTGTCCCTTATAAATCCCAACCTTCATCCTATAAAGTCCCACCACAAGGGAGAAACAACACAAATAGACAAACAAAAATGTTGCGCGTATTGAAACGGCTGTACGGCGTACGAACCTGAAAACTCAATTCCCCTGTACAAGAATACGGGGTACACCGTATGGGTTGACAGCCCTGGCTTCATCCAGCAGTGGAGAGCGCATGGCTGGATAGGAGGTGACGTCACGGGTAAGTGGGCGTGCACTTGAGTATCTGCCCCGCCCCCCTGTCAAAAACTTTTTTTTTACTCGCATCTTAACACCGTGGCGGTGACGTTTCGGGCAAAGACCCTCTTTCAGAGCACGTAAATAGAGAGTCCAGAGTTGCACACCGCACTTTACACCATGGGGCCTGATGATAAATCACGTGTTTTATGTTTTAATCGACCTATTAGTAGCTTCATACTCTTAGGTTTTTTCGGTAAAGTCACGTAGGTAAAAAATAAATAATAAAAATAAATATTATAGAAATTATTTTTTTTACCTACGAAAAAAACCTAAGAGTATGAATCCTTGCAGTCACGAAAGCTCCAAATCTAGAACTATTAGTAGCTATTGCGTAACAAACAAAGCCTTTTCGATCATCGCAAGGCGGCATTACACCCATTTGAATTAACGAGTAAAATTCTCAAAAAGTTATTGGTGAGCTGAAATCACAATTATGATAATAACGATGAGTCGTTTCAACCAATCACAGCAGGGGGCCACTGCACGTCCCTGTCATTCACAAATCCCCCCCACCCCCACTCCACCCCCTTCTAGCACTTCCGGGTCAAAGGTTCCAGCTTCCGGTCTCTGGCGTCAACGCAAGCGGCGACGATGCGCGCTTCAGGTAAGTGGCTCCGCGGCTGGCTCGTCTCTCCAACACTTCCCGGCAGACGCCGTCCGAGCCGCAGCTCGTGCAACGGACCCTTGTGATGCCGCCGCTCTCTGCGGCCGGGTTAATTCGTTCGGCGGGCGCAATTTTTAATTCATTGTAACCATTGCGGCGCTTCTAGTTTTTTACATTGAATCGAAGCCTCTTTGTAATCCATAGTTCTGATGGGCGTGCGCTGTAACCCCCCCCCCCACCTCAACCCTCACCCCCCATTGGCTGGGTGCGTTGTCACGTGGCGCTGCTCGCGGACCAATGAGCGGCGGCCGCGCGCGCCAATGTGAGCTTAGGAATGTGGAGGGGGCTCGTGGAGCGCCGTGATTGGCTGGCGGGCTGCGTTTCTTGGGTTTCCACGCGGCTTCCGCTGTCGTAGCGAGAGGGCCCAGCACGCCCAGTGGCAAATCCGTGCGGTCATTTTTTTTAGACGACGTTTCGGTCAATGGCCCTCCGCTTTCATGGGTGCGCTATAAAGAAGGCACGTTGCCCGGAACGTCGCCGGTTATATGCGTCCTTCACTGTCTTCCTCGTATGGCTGGTGTGGAGCAACGGCTTTTATTTTTACAATGGGGTGGTTGAACTTGCGTTAGGAGTTGTAGTAGTGGAGTGTATCGCTGTGATGACACCATTCATATTTAATAATCTGACATTGCATCGTTATATAAACCATGGTCTTCTCTGGGTGACCGCAGTCACAGCGAGATTCTATGGAGTTTTTCCTTTATCAATTATTGATTTTCAATTTCTCCATTAAGTGTCCACATCCGCCATGGTTTGTGTGAATGCGGTTTGCAGTTGCCCATAAGTGTTATTGATGAACTTGTTGAGTTCTTTTTGTTGCTTGTGCACCTCTGCCAACGCAACAGCATCAACTAATTAAGAGCCTTAATATTGAAACCGTACGATGTAGCGCTCGATATGTAGCGGTGGTTTTGAGAGGGGTTCATCCAGCAGTGGATTTAACTTTTTATGGTGTAGCGCTGATGGTGATATGATACATCAAGTCTAACAATGTACACTTGCAATACAGGGGTTAAGATGATATCCTCAAATGACCATTTGTGCTTATCTCCCGTTTACATCCCTGAGATATCGTGGATATTCCACATTCCTATGACTGAAGCCAGTTGTTCCATAGGACAATCACTGTTGACTTACCCACAATAAATTATGCCGATTTTATCAATCCAGGAAGGATAATGAGCTGATGCCCCCCCCCCCCCCCCACCATGTTATCAGCTGATACTAACAAAGCGAATTGAGTCTTACATTCCACTATTGCAATGCAGTTGTAGTTGTCAGCCCGTAGCTTCCCACTGTTGGACAAAGGCCTACCTCGTATTCAATTCCTTTCCGTAGCAGTTATTTCAAGTTTTAAGTTTGTTAAACCAGGTGAGAACTCAAGAGATCAGGATATCCTAGTTTGCAAGAGTAACCTGGGGCATCAGTCTGTCAGCAGGGGGCGATGATTGTGTAATCCCAATTTGAGTAATTCGTGGGTAATTTTCATATTTGGCATGCGAGCACACAATCACCTACTGTTACGAATAATGTCGCGGGATTTTAGGCGGCGTATAGTATTACGGCTATTACACCCACAGAAATAATAAGGGTGGCTGTTGGACTTTAAACATGAACCTCTGCAACAAGCGATGCATACCATGAATGCACTGCTGCTAGGTCATGTCCCGGCCCCTGTCCGGCAATGGCCACCAAACCTGAATTGCATTCAGACAAATAGCTTGGCATGAAAAAATAAGAATGGGTTTTACCCTTTCTGACAATGCACTATCAGAGCTATACATGCTCTGGTAGTGCATTGTGTTTGTACGGTTCGCCTTTTGACGTTCTCTGGTCTGACACTGGTGAGACTAAGCCCTAAAGAAGGCTGGCTATCGTGTAGGCCAATGAGTTTCAAAGACGGTGCAAACATTATCGGAGCATGTTTGTTTGCATGTTTTCCACAAGTACGTGTGGTTAATGCAGACTTGATTCCTTGCAAACGGTTTCTATTAGGTGTTTGAATATCTTAACATCTGTTTGAATTGCCAGAAAGGGTAAAACGTATTCTTATTTTTTTTATACTTTGATACTGACAAAAAGGTGCCATGAAATAGCATGGCCTTCATGCAGTTTATGTCAAATGTAAATTTTTGAACATACTTCAGTGCGAGTTGTTCAAAGGGGTGTCCAGAACCGGTTCAGATATAACGCGCTCCTGATGTCAGCCGTGGCTAGGAAACAAAACCCAGGTCATTGGGTTCATAGCGCAATGCACTAACCACTGCACTACCGCTGCACCTACTGAATATATACGGTATCGTAGTGCTCCTTAAAAATGCTGCTCATAGTAGTGTCTTTTTAAGTTAATGGGTATTAAATACGATTGTGTATCAGCATTCCACTAGACGGAACAGGCATTTAAAGTTGAAGGACACAACTAATGTCAGGCATATTACCTAATAGTGGGGGAATTTTCATGTCTAACAATGCATTTATATTATTTGCTACTTAATGCAGAATTTCATTTAGATGTATAGCAGATAGTATAACAGCAGATGTAACAATAAACTAACATAATATTACAAAATTATATTTAACATAATATGCTGGGGCTGTGGTATAGTGGTTAACATGTTGTGTTATGAATCTGGCTACCTGAGCTCGATACCCAGTAATTGCAAACATCAGGGGTGAGTGATAGGTGAACCGGTCATGCCAAATCACACTTAGATCGTTTTACTAATCCACACTAACCAGTTTGGGGAAGTATGGTCAAACAAGCCCTGTGACCTACATAGCGTGGGGAAGTCCTAATCCAGCACGTAATGGACAAAGGGTTGTAAATTATTACTACAAAGTTGTCACTTTTTTTTTTTACCATGGATGAAATACTGAGTTCATTCCAACTGTACGTGGCCATTTCTCAGTGTGGGCAAATCCCCTCGCAAAAAATATTTGAGACTCCCTTAACGGACCAGCTTTGCCAGCTTGTTATTTTTCTTATCACCTTTACCATTGTTATTGCGTGTCATTGCAGTACTCCTGCTGCCGCTGGCCCTGGCACTGGCCCACGCTGCCACCGCACTGCATTTCTACACGACCGGCGATGTGGAGAGGCTGCACACCGCCCTGATCCGGCCCTACAGCTCGCTGGAAGAGGCGTACCACGCCGCCACCGGCCTCGCCGCACTCGGCGAGCAGCTCCCAGACGAGCAGGTGACCTGGCCAGGATTAGGTTGAGGTCATGGTTGGGGTCGTTGACTTGTGAATTGTGTAGTCGTGTCCGCTTTGAGCTGCTGCCTCCCAACGGTTTCTTGGACAATGGTACTTAACTCAGTATAGGAAGGTCTGTTGTGATTATGCATTAATGTTTGAACAGCTGTTGTGATAGTTGTGATTACCCCGAACATTGGTACAGCTATTAGGTTAACATTTAAACTGAGAGCTTTATAAGTAACCTTAACATTGGGTCAGCATTGATGTTAACATTAATGTTGGGATAGCTCCCACGATAACTGTACCCGAACGGTACAGTTGTGAAGTTCACCATAATATAATGGCCCTTACATTAGATCGTACGCATTTTTGATAGTCTCAACTTTGAGACGGCTATCATCATTTTGGAAACGTCTGTCGTGATTAGTTTAAGCTGTGACGATAACACTTAGGCAGCGGTAATTTTATTATGAATTGCCAACGCTGTCCCTGAAGTTCCATTTGGCTCACAGAATAAACTTGGGTATGATGGCACACGCAGCAGTTACACTTTTTAATGAACCTGTGTGTGAAATTGCCATGTGTGTTGCAGTCTGCCTGCGAGTTCATTAATGCCGAGTTGGACCCCTCTGACGTTCACTCCGTGTTCTACGCAGCCCGGACAAGCAAAGTGCTCTCCGATTGCGAGGTACCTTCCTCCCCCAACCAGGTTCCATCCCCACCCCTCTGGCCAAAGAGCAACAATCCTCACCAAACCCCCAGGGCCGCATAGTCAAGCTAGTGTCAATCGTATAGCAGTGGTGGCCAAACCTCCTGACCCTGCGGGGCCGCATACTATAAAATCTTCACACGGCCCATAGCCACAAGACACGCACAGTGGTCACGTGGCCAATTTGCTCACGCTTGTGCTGTGGATTTATGTAAAATTCTCTGGGAATGCCCATGAGTGTCTGACTCTGCTGCCAGGGGTAAGTGCTCCAGGCCGCTCGCACTTGGGCATATTTTTTTATTATTCGAGTAAATTTACGTGGAGAAGTTGCAAATGGGCTTTGTTTCTGTCGAGCAACGCTTGAATGGTCCAAGAGCCCCTTGCGGCTCACGGCCTGTAATTTGGCCGCCCCTGTCACATTTGGAGCAACCTCGCAGCATTGGCAGTTAATTTGCATACTTATTTGATGGATTCTCACAAGCACAGTGCTATGTGCATGCATCGTGAGCGTAAGGAATTGACTGTTGTGATTAATTGACGCACCCATTACCGTGCGTGACAATATGAAATGATAAAAGCACCTATTTAAATAGTGCTTTGCAAAATGCTTTTCAGAGTAATTCACCACATAGTAATTATGACATTATTTTTACAGAGCATTGAGGTATCTATTTTCTGTGATTGTAAAATTGCTACGATTAAAAGACTCATGTCAGGCTTAAGTTGCGCGAACTGCAATCGAATAACTTTAAAGTAATTTTTACATGTACTTAAAGTACCACAAAGCGCAAAAAAGTGTAATTAAACTGCGCAATACAATTCCAGATGTATTTGAAACTAGTATCGCAATCGAGAGACATTGATCATCTTTGCGAGGAAAATTATATCGTGGCAAGCCGCATGCCCGTGTTCACCACGGCCACGAGGGGGCGACGTTGTTCCATCGCCACCGCTCCGTACCTCGCTCTCTTCTCAACGAGCCGGTACAGACGGCCAATTAGAGGTGATAGGACAATCGATCAATTAAACCGTCTGATTCGGATGTCACGTGGCCATTATAAACCAACGCTACGAGACGCCCAGAACCAAGACTTTATTGCAGGCACTCGGCGGTGTCTTCTCCGTAATTGTCATAGCCATTATGAATCAGTGCCCTGAGAGAGATAGAGATTTGGTACTAGGACTTGAGCCCAACATCTCCATATAAAGCAAATAACGATGCATCGGCAATTTTAACTTAATATGTATGGTCATGATGAGTGCGTGGCGTTAATTGGCTAATGGTTAATCACATTCAATTCCTTTAAATTTGAATTGGGTCACGTAAGCCATACAAACCATTATTGATTTTCCATTGACTACATACCAAAAAAATACGTACCATTTTTAAATGGAATCGTCATCCCGAAATTGTGCCAATTCATCGAACCCTGAGCAGTTAAATGCCTGCCCAGTGGTGTCATCGTGCTGGCTCACACATTCCTGCGGAGGGAGCTGGTAGGAACGTTGGGTTGCTCGGTCAATGGCCAGGGTCAACGGCGGCGTGGTGTATTCCGCAAATATGGCCGACTGTGAGGGCGGGCACAAGCCGGCGTGAGTAGGTTTAACGTTGAGTTTTATAAGGGCACCACGGGGTAACCAGTCCCTCCCCACCCAGCCCCACCCCTCCCAGCCCCCACCCAGCTCCCACCCTCCCCACCCAGCCCCTCCCCACCATCCCCTCTCCACCCAACCCCACCCCTCCCATTTTTGGATACACGACGGACGGACACAATAATCCCCTGTGGGCTGGTGTAACCAGGAGGTTCCTACCAGTATAACCCAACCGTTATGAGCCTCTTCCTCATAACGGTTGGGTTATGAGGAAGGGGCTAGCATTGTTGCAGAGCGGTTCGCACACGGCAGCGTGCACCCAGTGACCCGAGTTCGATCCTCCGCCAATGCTCTCTGACCCCCACATGGCTCTGCCATCACAAAAGCCGTTCTGACAATGCGGCGCCGTCGCGCTGTTCCCGGTTGCAGCTGTCGGTGAGCAACGAGACGCGCGAGGGGCTGCTGGCGCTGATCAGCGAGGATGCGACGGTGGCCGAGGTGGCGCATGCCGTGGGCGCCCTAGTGGCTCTCGATCTGCCGCTCTCCTCGCAGCAGGCAGTGACGGCGCTCGCCGTCGCGCTGGCGAGAGAGGACAGCCCCCCCGCGTGAGTCGCCAACCGCGTCCACTCCCCCCCCCCACCAGCCGTTGTTATCGTCGGCTTCGTGTTGAACGCGATGTCACCGCCAACAACACGTCTGCCCTGTGCCCCTTGAGAGGGAGACGGAGGGGACTGACTTCCGTAATTTGTAATCGGGGAATTTTTTACCGCCTGTCAAATAAAATTTGTCTTAGCGCTCGCAAATTATAATTAGGCTTCATGACAGAGGTAGCGCCGGGCTGTAATTAGTTTCACGCGTAACGTTTCACTTCGGTTATGTTTTTACTTCAATTAAAAGAATAAGGTGTTCAAGGTGCCTTGTGCCAGCTTCTCCCGCTACATTTGGCTATGAAAATTTGAGCAATGCGAGTGGTTCTATTCATTGTTCCACACCACTTCCAATTCATGATGACAGAAGTTAAATATTCTACTTGTTATACAGCACTAACAATTAATAGCAACAGCATCGAGGGATATCTGTTGTTAAGCATCATGACCAATTTATTATGACAGCAGCAGAGTTTCTGTTGTATGTGTATCCTTTGAGCTTTATTTGACGAAAACCTGGGTTGTGTTTGTGACGGCAAAAGACGATTCCTGTAACTTAGCCGAGTTGGTGTTACATTTTCAGGACGATACAGGCCCTGCTGGCTGCTTCCTACCTCTCACAGCAGGCCGACCTCAACCGCATCTATCAGGAGGTGGAGGTGAGCCATTCACCACACAATGCAAATTGTCTCCATATAGCCTTAACAATCTGTTGGGGCAAGGCCGGCACGGCACACAAGGGGTTGGGTGTTCAGCACCACGCCTGGCCGCCTCGGTTTCTCCAGTGGTGATGTTTACACATCACAACAGGTACTCATTTGAGACCAAGTCAACTTAGGGGAGGCCCAGGACCGGTTCATATAATGGTCACTGGTGTTGGCCATGAGCGGGAATCGAACTCGGGCCACTGGGTTCATAGCGCAGCGCGCTGACCGTTGCACTCCCGCTCCCCACATATCCGTATACAAACACACTCACATTTATCAGTACATATACAATCCATATACACACACACAATTCCATATAGACACAATAGATATACACAGCACATACAGTATATACACACACAGTATATACACGTATACACATTTATACAAGGACAAAGATCCCCTATACCCTTAACAGTGTTGTTAGCGAGCACCTATGAACAGGCAAAGGGAGGTGACAGCCACGATGGGGGAAATGAAAAAGAAGCCCCACAGTGCTGGATCATCACTGAAGATTCCCACAGCAGTGCACGAGACCACGCTTGGATTACAAGCTTACAAGTGGCTACGAAAACACCACTTGTTAAATCTCTTGCCTCCCGCGCATTCATTTGTTTTGGGGTTTTTTGTCCCGTGCTCGCAGGACCTGGTTGCTCGAGCGGACGAGCATGGGGGGCTCTACCTGCAGTTCGAGGAGGGCCTGGAGGTGACCGGGCGCTTCGTGCACGCGGCCTACAGCCTCGCCGAGCACATTGGCAAAGCGCCCAACATCAAGCCCGTGAGTAGTAGCATCTTCTGCGGCCGTCTGGAACGCTCTTCCTTCTGATATTAGGAAGCCACTGGAGCTCTGCACTTTTAAATCATCCAGATTGAAAACTCATTTCTTTAGAACTGCTTTTTGTGTTTAGTTTGTTGTCCTTCCCCCGCACCTCCGATTAACACGGTTAGCTACATACAGTGCGAATGACGTTCAACATGCATGCCCTAGCCTCTTCTGTCTTGCCAGAAAATGACTATTGTCCATCTTAGAGGCACTCATTTATTTGTGTGTGTCCATTTGATTCTGCCTCATGACCAACATCAGTGACGATTATCTTAACCGGTCCTGGATGTGGTACTGGCTACCCCCCACCCCCTCGTGTGCTGTGCCGGCCTTCATAGGTGCTCGCCAACAGCACTTGCCCCAACAGTCTGTTAAAGGCTATACGGGGGATCTTTGCTTTTTGCCCATACAGAACCAGGTGGTGCAGCTGAGTAACGCGGTGCTGGGCCGTGGCTCGCTGGCAACGCTGGCGCAGGCATCGAGCGTGGCTCTGGCGGCCACCAAACTCTCCAACAACCGCTTCCACGTGCCGCTCGTGGTGCAGCCGGACGGCGCGCCGGCCCTCTCCCACAAGCAGCCCACCCTGCGGGTGAGGGGGGCACCGCACTGTTTATTCTTTACAACTGAAGTCAAAAGTGGTGAGGCATTCGCTCGGTCCATCTGTCTTTCCGTAACATCTTTCTGTAATATAATTTACATTATAGTATAGGGATCTTGTAGAAAACCAGCTACTTTTATTAAAAGGATTGCCCAAAATTAGCGATAAAACCAGAATTCAAATAGTTAAACATTTTTAGCCGAAGCGGGCTCTCCCCCCCCCCCCCCCTTCCAGGCTGCTCTTCACCTCATTCGGTGTCATTACACAGTACGGTCATCTTAGAACATCGCACATGATGCGCCGCCGTATCACGTGTGCGGTTCAGAACGTAACGTTATCACAAATTCTATATTTCTGAAGACAAACGCACTTTGGAACACGTTGCGGAATCCATGCATATGCCCAATTTTTCTTTCCTTAATAACATAAAAAAATTGCAACGTTATTGTAATTGTTTTATCAGCGGCATTTCATGGGGGAAGGAGTATCCTTAACTATCGCAGAGCATCACGCTGTGTTGGAGAACAGCCCGCAGAAGCGTATTTCATAGAATGTATTTAAAGAGTGCCTTATCTACACAATAGAGGTCACTGTACTTCTTCACATAGTCTGTTACATAGAAATGTTTGTTGCATGGTAGCCAAATGGATATATTTAATTCTCAGAGCTAGAATTTAGAAAATCTAAGTTAAAAAACTCAATTTAATGGAATGTTTTTTGTGCTGTACAGTATATTGGTAATCGGGCTTGAGTATCAACTCACTACACTTGAAAACCCAGTTTTATTGCCAGTGGCTGAAATCCAAATTCGAATCCAGGATCACAGCGATGATAGCTCTGTGCTGTGATTCCTGCCAATCATCAGCTTTAGAGGAGAGGTCCTACTTGGGAGGTTTGGTCACATTGGCAGACGGCGAGAGGAAGATGTAACTTAGGGTCAGGCACGTAAGGATGCATTGAATCGTCAATTAAAATATTTCCTTGTGCTCATGGTATACACTTTGAAACGACCATCAAAGAATACATGATTAGCGATCGGTGAAAATAACATACTAATGTTACATTCCGGTTGCTGTGCAATTGAGACAGAAAAACATGAGACTCAATACCAATAAGATGGTAAAAAATATACTTAACATAATAGATTCTCCAACTCCAATTCTCAGACTTCACGAATGGATTAAAAACGGGAGATATATGTTTTTTAATTATAGTTTTTTTATCTGCCTCATGCTGTCATAAGATGAAAGCGTGTTTAGTTAGAAGGCTCACACTGAACTCCTAACAGGTTTAATCAAGTACGCTACTCAATGTCTCTTACGGGTGTTTTGGAAAGTTGAAGCTTTATTTTCTTGGCACATCATTTCAGGCCGAGTTGACCTTGTGGGTGGCACTGCCCAGAAAGCCTTCTTCAGGCTGAGTGTCCTGTCACAGTGTTCTGGGTACAGCGCCCTAATCGTTCTGACGTTACTCCGGCTCTCCCACACGGCGTTTCGCGTCAACTCTGATCTTACGTTCCGTTTGTGGGACTCCAGCTCGTTATCTCTTGAGCTGTTTGGTTAATTGGCCGCCTGCTTTCCTTCATGTCCATTTAATTGATGGGACGTCAACAGAAAATCCAGCCTAAGTGGGTGCCCATAATGTCTCTGCAGGTTTCGTTTTGATTTTTAATAAAGTAATATAAATGTGGCAAAACGGATATAAATCGTCACTTTTGATTAAGCTGCGCGGACACCACTGCCCGACGTAGCCTCATTCAGCTTTGTTAAAGTTTCTGCGTTGAGCATCTCCTAACTGCGATTAACTCGTGAGTGGAATGAAGGCGGCAGGGGTGGGCATGCCGTAATTATCCAGCAGGGAATACTCGCCGGAATACTCGGGTTGTTGTTGCCCGCGGAGGCAAGGGTCTCGCTGTGTTCAGAGGATCCCGTATTGATTTGTGCGTTCACTCTAATTGGCTGCACCTCCTGTTTGCTGTCCTGCCATTAATTACCAGGGCACACTTCGGAAATGTCAGAGGCCACTGTTAAAAATAAAATGCTGCGGTTGCCGCTCACTCACAATGCTTCCGAAACCGAATGGCGGGATGACATGTATGTTTAACTTCTTGCGCAGCGTACGTAGCCAACTGTGTTTTGTCTTGACCCTTAAGCCCCCCCCCCCTCACAACCTTTACCATAGCCCCATGCTCAAAAGTAGACCTGGCCCCGTTCCCATAATGCCCAGAGTAACACTTACCATATATCAAGGCAATAGGTCGTTGTGACCCATGTCATTTATGCCATCAGACAGCACTGCTGTTGTTCGATCACCCGGCTGTTGTGCAGTCAACACCCAACCTTTAAGGTTCAGTCTGATGGTTTTATTTTTGGTCAATGCTCAACACTGCCTTGGCCTCTAACAACGGCTCCGCTCAGGATTGAGCCACTCCGTTTGCTTTTGAAGACGCAGGAACAACTCGGCCGTGGCTTGGCTCAACTCATGGATATCTTGAGCTTGGCTGAGACCATATTCATAGCCGGCTCAAGATAAGCGTGCGTTTTAAGCCACTTCACTAGAGCCAAAGCCAAATCTGAGCCGAGTTTTCTTCACCACCACCATCTGGCATTAGGTCTTCTCTTCCCCTTGGTCGCTGACTCCTGGTTGCCACTCCAATGCCTGTCTCTAACCTGGCCTCCTCCAGCATTAAATTCAAGGTCTATAACTTACAAACTAATCTAGTAATAACTATAATCCTAAGTGTACAACCATGGTCTCAGTATTACAGCCATACACACAAGTAAAACATTCACCCTACCTTAATCATACCACATTGACAATTGTTACACTCTGTATCAGAACGCTGGACTCGGTAATAACCATAGCCCCAGTCACATTGCTGTTCATTTTACATGCTTTTATTTAACTCCCTCTGTCTGTTGTTGTTGTCGTTGTATTCTCAAATCTTGTAACTCAATTTTAACCCACTTCCCAATGTGGTATCAATTGCAAACTTGGTATACTTATGTCATACTGATGACAATACTATATTCTATCATAAAAATATGTATTTTTAAACATTCTTTTTTATATGTTATGTTTCGGCTTGCATCTAATTGTCCACGGTAAACTGACGTTGGCTGTAATTCACCACGGTCCCTTACGTTATGGCAAGCTTCGGGGCCACTTTCTGGAGTTGTCGAGTTCTTCCATTACGAGTACGGTACATTTCATTAAAGCATGTGTTTTTTTAAAGTTTTTTTTTAAATATTACTTTTTAAATTGAACCCTGTATCTCACTTATAACAAATACCCAGACCTTGACCCTGGTGTGACCCATAACCATAATTTCTATGACCCTCGGCTGTTGTGTTATTTGTGTGTGTGCGCACGTGTGTGTGCCCCAGCTGTGTGTTATGGATGTGCTGTCACTCCAGATGCTTGTGTGTATGTGTATAATACATGGGGTGTGGTAGTGTTGTGGTTAGCGCACTTCGCTACCAACCCTGTCAACTTTACTCTTTGGTTCTTTCAGTAAAGTCACATAGGTAGAAATAAAATCAAACAAATCACGACGTTTCAATCGCAACACAAGCATCAGGTGGAACAACCACAGCAAGAAAATGCTGAAGTCGGCTGGAGAGCTGCCGTAGGAGGAGAGGGAGAGAGGGAGGGGTAGGGTAGGGGGAGGGGGGGCCGCGTGAACGCTAGGGGAAGACGTGAGGCTGGGGGGGGAAAGTGGGCGGGGCTAGAAGTGGAAAGCTGGGGAAAAACATAAAAATGTGCTAGGACACCGGCAGGTACGATGGAAACAACAACAACCAGTTAAGGCATTACTGGTTGATAACATCCTTCCAATGATTGTTCAATTTGTATCCATCTTCTCGGTTGAAGTATTCTGTTTATATATTTGATAGTAGCCCGAATGTTTGCAGAGTACCTTGGTCTCGGAAAAAACAATATCATGCGAGCCCACAGCATTATGACAATGGTCAGCTACGGCAGAGGTATTGGTTCTGCCATGTTTCAGATCTGCCTTGTGTTCACGAACACGGTCTGAGACATGTCGTTTTGTTTCCCCAATGTAACTGCTACCGCAGGTACAACTCTGTTTGTGGACTCCAGGGTATTGCATGTCAGGAATGCCCTCCTTCACAGATGGGATTAGATCACGAAGTTTGTGTACTGTATTGAATCGGACCTGGATCTTGTGTTTGTTTAAGATTTTGGAAATCCTTTTGGTAACATCTGCTATGTATGGTAAAGTGATGGTTTTGATTGGTTTCTCAGGAGATTGTTTCTCCATGGTTGGAGAAACAGCTTTGCGAATAATGCGGTCCGATTACCCATTCATCTTGAGGGCTTGGTGTACGTGTTCCACTTCACTGGCTAGGTGGTGTTAGTCGGAGATGCAGTGAGCCCTATGGTATAGTGTTTTGATGAGGGAATTCTTCTGGGCCGGATAGTGGTGGGAATCAGGTTTTAGATAGGAATCTCTGGGTGGCTTTCCTGTGGACGGAGTATCTCAAACAGAACATCCAGGAATGGTAGCTTACCATCCTTCTCCACTTCCATGATGAATTTGATGGATGGGTGTATGGAATTGATGTGGTTGAGAAATCGGTTCAATGCTGGCAGGTCATGTGGCCAAATGACAAAAGTGTCATCCACGTATCTCTTCCACAAGGAAGGACGTAGGGTGGATGTCTGGATGGCATCTTTTTCAAATTTCTCCATGAAAACATTCGCTATCACTGGTGATAAGGGGGAACCCATGGGGCTACCTTCAACTTTACTTCGTATTCCCGCTCACGACCAATATCAGTGACAAATATCTGAACTGGTTCTGGTCCCTCCCCTATGTCAAATCACCGATAAATGAGTACCTGGTGTAATGTAGTCATCAGTGGCCAAGACTGCCGTGCGTATTGAGCCAGAGGGCCGCCGTCCACGCGGACGTCCGAAGAAGCGATGGATGGACCGAATAAAGGAAGACATGAAGACGGTCAACGCATCCCCTGAAGATGCCCTGGACCGAGCCAAATGGAGAAGACAATGCCGAAAAGCGGACCCTGCGCCACAGCGGGAACAACGCTAGGAAGAAGAAGAGAGTACCTGGTGTAATGTATAAACATCAGCGCTGGGAGACAAAGGCGGCCGGGCGTGACTCTGACCACACTGCCCTCTCGTTATCAGCACTTTTCCCCAGCATCCTGTCCGTATACCTTTGTATATGGAACACAAAATAACAACGGCATACGTGTGTTTGTGCGCGTGTGTCCCAGCTGCGCGTCACGGACGTGCTGTCGCGCCCCATACGCGGCACCGTCGTCATCCTGGAGAAGGCGCGCGAAGCCGCCAGCCGCCGCAGCGTGCTCAGCCAAGTCGCCTTCACCGAGCAAGGGTACACGCCCTGCTGCCCCCTGCTGCCCCCTACTACCCCTGTTGTACCCTACTACCTCTCCTATACCCTGCTAAGAAATGCACTCCTCTGCTGTACCCTGCTTCCCCCAAATAACCCCTGCCGCCCCTGCTCAAGCCCTGCTGTCCCTGCTGAGCCATTCTACCTCTGTTCTACCCTGCTGCCCTGCTCTCCCCTGCTGCCCCCCTGCTTACCCCTCTTGCACCCGTTATTCACCGCTGCCCCAGATATACGGCTGCACCCGAGTGAATACTACCTTCACGTGCTGCTGCTCGTGTAAACCGCTGCTTTCTTTTGCCCCCGATACAAACTGCTGTCCCGAGAGTACATTGCTGCCCTCTACTGCCTCACCTGCTGTCCACACCCTGATGTACGCTGCTGTTGCCTACTGCCACCCCCCACGGACGGTCAAATGGATGGACGAACGGACAAACATATGAAGAGACAGATAGATGGACAGACTAACAGACGGTTGGACACATGGAATAAATGAATGGACACACATCCACCCTGCTGTCGCCTAAAACTCGATGCCCCATGTAGCGCCGACTGACCCTCACTCGATGCCCTCCACTGCCATGCTGCTGCCTCACAGGGACGTGCATGAGTTCGACTTCCTGCAGGCAAACCCCAACAGCGGCTACTTCGACCTGAGCCTTGTTGTGGAGGGAGACGCTCGGCTGATTGGCAAGGAGACTGAGGTGAGGGGACTTTCTCGTGTGGCCTCACGTCCCCTCAGTGTCCGTCTTGTCCGTCTGTCTGCACTTATGTTTATCCGTGCATCTTTCCGTTCATTTGTCCTTCTGTGTGTTCATCCATCTGTATGTGTGTCCATTAATTTTGTCCGTTTGCCCATCCATCTATCCTTGTATCCATCTTGTCATCCATGTTGTGATATTTGTGTTAAATCGTCCATCCTTATTTGGCATTCTGCCATCTACCCATCTGTGTCCATTTAGTCTGTGTGTCCATCTAATCATGCAGTTGTCCTTATGTCCATTCATCTGTTGAGTGGACATAAGAAAGGTCCCATCCGTGCATTTCTCTGTCCATGCCTCCATAAGGTTAGAACAAAGGAAACGAACGGCGCATGCAGTATAGATGAGACAGAGTACAGACAGGAGGCAATACAGATGAAACGTTACAGACAAGAACGACAGACGAACAATGCAAACGTGGCAACAAAGAATCGTTTCATTACTTGAGCGGTGACCCAGAATTACGACGGTTAATGTGCGGGGTGAGAGCATAGTGTTTTATCGATGCATTTGCATGCTACTTTGTTGGGTTTTTCCCATCGGGTTTTTGAGGCAGACTGCCACGTTAATGACCACGGATGTGGTTAAATCGTTATCCGTAAAAAAAAAAAGGAATTGCGTAGATACGCTCTGTAAATAAAATGAAAATAAATACAGACGGATGGACGGAGTCGCGCACGCTTCCATGTATCGTGGGAGGCCTGCGCAGGTGTGGCCCTTGTTTGGAACGCACGCACATTCGCACGCACATTCGCACGCACGCTCCAGCCGCACCTTATGATGTGTGGGGTCATTGGCCCTGACGGCGGCCACTTCAGCAGTCGCCCCACCGCTCTCCTCGCCTCTTTCACATTCCTGCCGACTGTTTCATTGCTTAATTGAGTGGTCTCTATGTGTCATTAATCAAATAAGTCTTTAAAGGTTAAGTGGCATTATTTGAAGATTAAACAACGCGGCTGTGCTAGTCAGCTTGGGACATTTCTCCCCGCTGATGTTTGGATAAATTTGGTTTTTTAGTCTTGGGTTTTCCCTCTTATTACCAAGAACCCTACTTACGCAGTGGTGTGACAATTCACCCCGACACGATTCAACCCAATTTTCACAATTCAATTTGCAAGTTAAATGAATAAGTAAAGTGCCCTTGTGGTCAATGAGTCGGTCTCTGCGGGGGCCTTGGGAGGTGTATGCCCCTGGCATGGACAAATATGGCCGTTAAATCGACACAGAAGTACTTCTGTCCAGACATATTCCGGGGCCATCTCTAACACAGAGTGATGCACTGCTCTCTGTGAGCTTTGCAATGGAAATGTCTTCGCCTACCGTGCCAGTTCGACGGCTCCACCGGAACATAATTAAGTGTGGCCGGGGGGGGGGGGGTGTAAAAGCAGCGTAGAAAATCACTTTGATTCTCCGTTGTTTGCTCCGTGGTACACACTGTGTGAAAGGTGAAAGCACATTCGGTCCGGACGGCTGGCCGGCACTCCCTCTATTGCAACAGCGGGACTTTATTTATTTATTTTCCCCACCTCCTCGGTTGTCTTTTTGTTCACTTTCCTCTGACTAATCTAATCGCCCCGCCGGCCGCACCACCGCCGCGCCCTGCCATTTGCGCTGGCTGCCGGTGTTTGTCGTTGCACGTGGTCGTACCCCGGCGGCGCTGCCGCCGCGATCCCCACTGTTGCGTGCCATCTCTTAAAAACCAAACTATTTTTTATTTTGCCAGGTAAGACCCACTCGGCTGTATAGCTCTTTTTTCAGAAGCGACCTGCCACAAATGATGGCCGAAGAAGTGGCTTATGTGGACATTTCCAGCAGCCAAGTACTCTAAACGCGTGTTTCTAAATGTGGAAGGAAAACCGGAGGACCTGGAGAAAAATCCACATGACCTCGGGGAAAGCATGCAAACTCCAAATATACAGGCGTCGGGATCAAATCCACGACCTCCTGTATACTGGGTGAGGTAGTTAACATCTCACCAACGTGATGCCCCACCACGGTGGCTCATGCTCCTCCCGAGGAGCGCGAGCCGCTGGCGAGGTCCCCGAGTAAATACCACAGCTAATTCGGATTCCACTAAATAATGACCACCCCATTCACCTGTGTCGTCAATATGCAAGATTGTAATATTCGTGGGCTTTTGTGTGTCTGTGTGCGTTTTTCATCGGAGTCTGTTTGTTGTGTGTATCTTTGTGTGTGTTTGTCTTTCAGTGTGCATCCGTGCTTGTTGTATTGTGTATGTGTGCATCATGTTTGTCCTTGTATGTGTCATTGTTTGCATCTGAGTATTTCACGTGTATCTCTGTTTGTCGTGTGTGTCTGTGTCGTACATCTGCCTTTGTGGGGAGCGGTAGTTCAGTGGTCAGTGCGCTGCGCTACACACGTCCAGCCACCCAGGTTCGATTCCTGCTCACGGTCAACACTAGTGAGGATTATCTTAACCTGTCATGGGCCTCCCCTAGATCGACTTGGCCTCAAATGCGTACCTGGTGTGGTGTGTAAACATCGCCACTCAGGAGACAAAGGTGGCCGGACGTAGTACTGGCCACCCACCTTCTCTTGTGCCGTATTGCCCTTCATAGGTGCTTGCTAACAGCACTTGCCCCAAAAGTCTGTTAAGGCGATAAAGGGGATCTTTTTGTTAATGCATCTGTCTTTGTGTTTGTCCATGTGTATGTATTCAACTTGGTGGTTTCCTGTGACTTTATCACTTTCGTGATACTTGATTTAGATGTCTTGAGCAACTGCACTGAAACCTAAGTTTACTTAATAGCACCTTATTTTGATTGTCTGAGCCTCCGAAAATAACATTGTAGGTGCCCTCGTCTGGCTCTGCACACTTTTGCATGTCGATGTGATTGTGTCTACAGTGTGTGGAAATTAATTTATGTATACAAACTAAAATGACAATACCTACAAAAACATAATAGTATTACCTACCGGACGTTGTGACATTACAGTATTCCCCACATGCTGTTGACTTGAGAATGGCAGGTGTGACTGATTACTCAAGATTATATTCAAATTGTGTCCACCGGGTCATGTCACGAGAACAAGAAATGACCACCCTCTTTTTGTGCCAGTGTTGTTGATCTTTGCTCTTACGTTGAATGTATTGCTTTGCGGAATCCACTTATTAGGCTGCTTTGACCAATTTGTGACCCAGGTCTCGCGTGAAGATTAGCTGTGTCATCTCGGTTGACATCCACCTGGCTTTAAATAGCGAATAATAAATATTAACAGAATCGGCTAAATTTAACGAAAACTCAAATTGAATATGACATCTTTGGTGGGCGCCCGTTGGTGACCATGCTTTGATTGATCAACTCACTTCGCTCACAAGAACCCGGTTTAATCACGGGCGGCTGAAACCTGGATTCGAACACCAGGATCTGGTGCATGGAGTTAGCCCTACGCAGCCCACACCCGGGTTCCGTCCTCTCTCCATCTTCTTTATGTTTTGTTTGCAGTTGAAAATCAAGTTCGCCACCGAGGTCGGCGTCGCCAACGTGGAAATCGCAATTGTGGACAAGGACCAGAGCATCACCACCAAGACGACGTCGTGAGTTGGACTCGCATCACCTCTTCACTCCGCAAGAGCCGGGACCAATTTGTTTGAACGGTTTTTTTTTTCTTCTTCAGAAAAAGCAGTCCCTAGAGTGAAACTGCATTTTACTCTTCTTTTTGCCACTCATCTGTGCCTTGATGCAACATGCAGCATCAGAATGCCGACTGTTGCATGAAACGGTCTCGGAAGTAATTTTAAGCCGTGAATGTGGTTCTTAAGGAGAACAATAATGAGGATATCATGCACAAACAATTGCATAACAACAACCACAACCACTTACATTTATATTACACACACACTTCACACACTGTGCACGTCACACAATCACACTACGCACACATCAAACAACACATCACACACATACACGACACATAGACTACACATACTAAAAATACAAAGATCCCCGTATAGCCTTAACAGACTATTGAGGCAAATGCTGTTAGCAAGCTCCTATGAAGGATGGCACAGCACACAAAGGGGTGGGTGGCCAGCACCACGCCCGGCCGCCTATCTCTCCCCAGCGACGATGTTTACACACCGCACCAAGTACTCATTTAAGACTGAGTCGACGTAGAGGAGGCTCAGGACCGGTTCAGATAATTGCCACTGTTTATTGCTCGTGAGCGGGGATCAGACTCGGGTCCCCGGGTTCATGGCACAGCATGCTAACTGCTGCACTCCCGTCTCCCCAACGGCACACACACGCGCGTAACACACGCACCACACACACACAGAGCGCTAGGATGGAAATCGTGCTGTTTGCATAGCTGCGCGAGGCTGGGAGCACTGTTTGCCAATGTTTATCGGCAAAACATTCCAGAGAGGGAGGGAGGTGGATGAGAAAGCACCCCGATTTCATCCGGCCAAGTCATATCCCGTTTGAGGTTGCGTTTGCCCAGAGTAGAGTGCTCTTGTTTAAATTAAACCTTCAGAGCCTCCTCTCGAGTTTCCCCAAGCTGTGTTTGCTCTCCCCTTGTTTGTTAATGCAGAAGCCAAATAGCAGAAGGCCTCACTCTGTGGTCAGATCCTAATTTAGACATTGACACTTTGCCACGTAGACAGGTCCACACATTCGACGCACACACAGACACACGGGTTGCACTTGTACCATCGCTCACATACACGTTTGTACAAACACTCCGCCAACAACGACAATCGCTATTCGCCACTCGCGCATACATCACATGGGGTGCACAATCAAGTCTTTTGCGTGCTCGTGTGGATGGGGAGCAGTGCCACAGTGGTTCGCACACTGCACTGCAAATCCCAGTCATACCTGGCCGGGCCTAACATCAGTGGCCGGATGGGTGTCTGTACCTATCCTGAGCCTCCACTAGGTTGTCTCAACCGTAATTAGTTACTGGAGCAGCATGCGGGGCAGGCAAAAGCATCAGGGCATCATTCAGACCTCTTCACCACTGCTTGTGTCATGCAGGCCTAAATAAGGGCTCTCTGACAGCACTTTTGCTAATGGACTATGAGGCTGTGAAGAGAGGATGTTTGTCTTCATGTCTGTGTGTGTGTGTGGCACGCAGTGGTTAGCGCACTGCGTTGCAGACCCGGGGACCCGAGTTCGATTCCGGCTCACGGCCAACACGAGTGACGATTATCTGAACCGGTTCTGGGCCTCCCCTTTGACGATTCAGCCTCAAATTAGTACCTGGTGCGATGAGTAAACATCGTCACTGGGGTTGCTGACCATCAACCCCATCGTGTGCCGTGCCAGTCTTCATAGGTGCTTGCTAAAAGCACTTGCTCCAAAAGTCTGCTGAGGCTATACGGGGGATCTCTGTTTTTATTGTCGCTTACACAGTGTGGCGTACCCACACAAGGCAACCACCACCTTCACAGCAGACGGACACCAGAATTTCGTGCTCACCTTCCAGCTCATTGACCTCCACTCTGGGGCTGACCTTTCCCCTCACCAGGTAAGACCTCCATCTCCTCTGTCAGTCACAGTCAGATATGTCCCATTCACCAAACAATCATGAATATTAATTAAATACATGAATTTGAATGAAATATTCACATTTGCAGCTGTGTCAATCCACTGGTGGGTGAAGGCCTCACCATGTCTTGAATCATTAAGGGACTCATTGAGTGCCTAAATCCCTGACTGAAATACTGACTAAGTAACCGAGTTCATGAGTTACTGGCTATTTGGATAACTGGATGAGCGGTTGACTAACTGATTGAATAACTGATTGAATTACTTGACTGAATGACTGAGTTAATGAATGACTGAGTGACTGAGCAAATGAGTTGCTGACTGACTGACATACTGACCGAAGGAATTAGTGACTTAATGAGTGTTTGACTGACTGAATGACTAACTGATGACTCCCCCGTGCCCCTCCCCCCAGGTGTTTGTGCGACTTCAGCACGAGCGCAGCGCGCAGGAGGTGCTCTTTGTGGCCGAGGCGGACGCGCGCCACGTCTACCGCTTCGAGCTGGACGTGCTAGAGCGTCGCGCCGAGCTCGCCTCCGTCGCGGGCACGTACGCAGTGCACCTCCTTGTGGGCGACGCCGCCATCTACAACCCCGTGCACTGGCTGCTGGTGAGCGCGCAGTGCTGGGGGTTGAGGCCTGCTGACGACAACGATGATGATGATGTTGTGAGAATCTGACGACTTGTGTGTGCGTTTCAACTCCTCCAGTGTAATTGTTTGTCAGCCCTAATGGGTGCTTACTTAGCAGCACTTCCGTCAAAAGTCTAAAAGGGTCATCGTCGGATCCTAATATGCGTTTGAATGCATGTATGTGAATGTGTTTGAATGTTTTTGAGTGTGTGTTTGTCTATGAAAGTATATTAGTGTGTGTGAATTAATGTTTTTTTGGTATTGTGGTGGTGCTATGAACCCGGCAATCCGGGTTCGATTGTCACGGCTAACAACGGTAACAAATATCTGAACCAGTCCAGGACCCCCCCTCGGCTGATTCGGCCTCAAACGAGTACCTGGTGCAATGTGTAAAAACATCAGCACTGGTAAGACAAAGGCGGTGGGGCGTGGTACTGGTGGCCACCCACCCTTTTGTGTGCTGTGCCGGCCTTCATAGATTGTTTCTAACTGCGCTTTCCATCTGTGTTCCAGGCGGACGTGCTGGTGAAATTCCCAGAAGAGGAAAGCCCTACAGTCGCCAAATCTCAGAGTCTCTTCATGCCCAAACCTGAGATCAATGTACGGCACCCAACATCATCCTCCTCACATTCTCACTGCTCACTCTCGTTGCCCTCCCACACACCCTCATCACCCTCCTGGTTCTTACAGCCTCAACTCACAGCTTCAACATCCTAACTATGTCTTGCCAATACTAACTCACCAGTGTTAACCAGTGCTCTATGTAAACATTTTAATGAGTGGCCTGGTTCGCAGCGTAAACATCGACACTGGGGAGACCAAGGTGGCAGGGTGTGGTTTTCGGCCACCCAACCCCCTCATGTGCCTTGCCGGTCTAAATAGATACACGCTAACAACACTTTTCGGTCCAGTCTGTGACTAATGGATAACTGTGTCCTCTCTGTGTGCGTGTGCAGCATTTGTTCCGCGAGCCTGAGAAGCGGCCGTCCCTGGTCGTGTCAAACGCGTTCACGGCGCTCGTGCTGGCGCCGCTACTGCTGCTGCTCATCCTGGTACCTGGGCCCTGCCCTCCTCCCCTCTCTACTACCCTTTCTCCTGCCTTGTCTCCTCTCCTGCCCTCTCTGCTCTTCTGCCATCTCTCCTGCCCTCTCCTCTCTCCTGCCCTCCATTATCTCTCATCTTGCCGTCTTCTCTCTCCCTTATCTTTATTTTTCCTGTCCAATCTCTCATCTTTCTCCCACCTCTCCCAACTCTTCTTCGCTCACCCCTCTGTTCCCCTCTCCATAAAAACTCTTCTTCTCTCCCCTCTCTCTCACCCCCGCTCGGCTGCATTTCTCACTTCTCCATTCTCAATCTATGCTCACGAAGACGTTTCATATGTTGCATTGTGGTCGCTGATGCTAAGCTGTGTAGAGCAAGCAGCTTGCAATCAAAGTTTGCGAGTTCAATTCCTGGTTGGGGGGTTAACTTGGCCCATCATCCCTCTGGGGTTAATAAAAATGACTACTACCTCGTTGTAAAGTCAATAGTGGTTATCCTCAGCCCCGTCATAGGAAGGAGTAATTGCCACCACTGGTTCAGGGCTGTAAACATGAGATGAGAATATTTGAGCAGGAAATCACTCGACTTTGAATCTGCAGTTTCTGCCTCCGTGTCACTGCAGGACCTGGCTTTGGCGACGTATACATTAAACAATAACTCCTGCATACGTATGTGCTGCATAAAACATGGCACGCGCTTACATAATACATGGCCGATGCATTTATGCATGGTGCGAGAAACCACTCGCGTGAAATGCACACATTAGCGCTCCGATTGTGTATAAACAAGTGCGTAAAGCAGTGGACCTCTGACTTTTATGGTCGCTGTGTGCGCACACTTGCACACAGTAAATATTGTGAGTAGTGTGTGGCTAAAACATTATGTACCCAAATTGGCGTTGTAGGTAAATGAAATACCGAAAACACATATGTAACATCCCGTTGACAGAATTAATAATTATCGAAAGCAAAAACAGTCTTTGCATTGGGAAAAAAAACAGCTTTCAGCGTGAATATTTTAGAGTCCTTTGTGACTTGGTTTGCACATCAACCACGCTACGACTTGGCAACCTGATTTAATCTGAGATGGCTCCGTGGCACAGGTTATGGCCATTATGAGCCTCAGAAAGTGGGGAGAGGTAGCTACATCATTCAGTTTTCTGGACTTATCTCAGCAGTGCTGACTAAAGCTAACTGCTTTGACTTAGCCATTGTGAGCTTCCTAAGCCACCTGGCCTAATGATACAGTGATAGTGATTGATAAAGCCTCCGGTATGCTTGTTCGTCTCTTGAGAGCTTAACATCACATTTGAAAGGGCACCCTCAGTGGCAGCTGTCCCTGTGCGGCAACAAGGTGAATCGGTACCACTTGGCCATTGAATGGGCATTACCTTTCCAGATTATTGCTATGTGCTGATCCAAATGGAGTAATATATGGATGTTTTTAATTTGGCGAATTTGCACCCTGACACAGTCACACAATGGTCGTACTTTGTACATTAATTGGATTAATCCTTGCTCCTTAGGTGTGCGTATGCCAGTGAGTGTTTGTGTGGATGTGTTCGTATGTCATCCTCAATGTGCACATGGCCTAGCACAAGCGTCGTGCCGTGCCGGCTTTTCATAGGTGCTCGCCAACAGCACTTGCCCCAAAAGTCTGTTAAGACTATACGAGGAACCTTTGTCTCTGTCTTGCAGTGGGTAAAACTCGGAGCCAACATCTCCAACTTCACCTTCTCGCCCAGCACGTTGCTGTTCCACCTGGGCTATGCAGGTGAGCCGTGAGCAAGGGGGTTGTGGAGCAGATGGAGGTGTACCCCCGAGCCTAGGCAACGTGCTCATGGCAGTGAAGAGCTTCGATTAAGTCAAGCTGCATTATATTTCCTTCGGCTGCATATTGCTGTGTGGTTGCTGCCTGGCCTGTCTGTTCCACATGAAGCTCCAGGTCTTCTCGGCCACAATTATGGCCTCTCCTTCTTTACACGTGCAAAACGTGGATCCCTTGACAGGCTGACCTGCCTACAACCAGATTGGATTTTGTGAGGAGTGAACTCCTGAAAAGGCAAGGATATATAGCCTCTGTCATGTAGCTCGTAGGCCCAGCCACCACTTGCCCAAGCAGCACCTCTTTTGCCAGATAGAGGGGGCTGAATGGGTATGGCACAAGCTTGAGAAGGGATATGCTGATTGGAATATATGCAGCTGAGTAAAGCTTGCAGTATGTATGTATGTTGAACTTCATTCGCACCGTACGTAGCCAGTCATGCTAATCGGAGGTGCGGGGGAAGGACAACAAACTAAACACACGAAAAAAGATCGGTCTCTCTGGAGGTGACTAGTAAAGGATGCTATTAGGAAATTGAAAGCAATTGCCCTTGAGTAACAAAGAAGGGCAGGTGAGCAAAGCTCACAACAGCAAGCAGAGTGCTAAGCTGAAAAACCACAGCAAGTTGGTCCTGCTGTGAGCAAAGAAGATCCATCTGCCAGTCATGTCATTGGTTTAATCTGCAAAACATTGATCTGTCTCATGATCTGTCTGCAGCGAACCTTCCACACTTCACGTGACGTCAAAGTGCACTTAGCCTAGCACAAGCGCCGTGGCGACAACATCAACACTTAGTGGCGAACAGCGGCTGTTGTTACATGTAGTGCCTGCGTGTATCTCTTGTGTGCGAGCAGGCATGCTGGTGCTTATGTTCGTGTTCTGGACACAGCTGAATATGTTCCAGACGCTCAAGTATCTGCTTGTGCTCGGCATCATCACCTTCCTCGCCGGAAACCGCGTGCTCGCCCGCATGGCGGCTAAACGGTACTTACGCGCACACTGACGCCTACAATCGCACACTGGCATACATAAATACATACACACACGCATGCATACATACGTACAAACACACAAAGCACTCACTCAAACAGACACAAAGAGCAAAGATACAGACGCGCACAAGGCACTCACTCACAGGGCAAAAAACAAAGTTCCTCCATATAGCCTTAATTGACTGTAGGAGCAAGTGCTGTTAGCGAGCACCACACCCAGCCGCCTTTGTCTCCCCTCTGGCGATGTTTACACACTGCCCTTGGTCCTCATTTTAAGGCTGAGTCAACCTAGGGGACGCCCAGAACTGGTTCAGATAATATAATGGTCATGAGCGGGAATCGAACCCAGGTCGCCAGGTTTGTAGCGCTGCACGCTAACCGCGACACGACTGCTCCCCACTCACAGGCCACTTACACACACACATACAAACACAATCACATGCACATCCAGGGCACTCACTCACAGGGGCAGATCGCTTATTTAGCTTGATTGGCGAGTACACCTTTAGCGACGATCTATTCAGGTCTGGTGGCACGAGAGGGGATGGTGTGGTCTGAACCACGAGCTTTGCCAGTGTTCATGTTTGCACACCACACTCGTGTAAGGTGGAGTCGACCTAGGGGGGAGGCCGGGACAGATGCGCATACTAACACGACTACTAATTACTGTGCCAGCCTTCATAATTGCTGACTAGCACTTTCGCTTTGGTTATTCTTAAAAACCCTCGGGTCAAGTGCTGTGAATGAGCACCGATTTAACACAACGATACCGGCTTGGCACCTTTCTCCCGTACGTTGCCTTTCTTTGTCCTATTTCTCCGCGTGTTCTGATGTCCGTGTCTCTGTGTGTTCTGTGCTTTTCATCGCATTTTATTTGCCATCGATAAACACTATTCTCCCACACCTGTATATCCTGTCGCTTTTCATTTGTTTCACCACCTTCCCTCCCCGCCCGTCTCACCCACCTCCTGTCCCGTTTCCCCGGCAACTGTGAACCTCATCCTTGACACGTTCTTAATTTACTTGACTCGGGCCATCTCTCATCCAAGCATTCGACCACCGCCAACAACATCCTTGTACTCCAATTCATCTGCCAATTCCCTCCAACCATATTTTGCCTCTCTTCCCCCCACCTATTTCTTACTCTTCCCAACCTCCCTCTCCTTGTCCCTCTCTCCTGCCTCTCCCTCTGACCCATCTTCCTGTTCCTTTGCCCCCCTCTCCTTCTCCCTCTCCCAACCTCTCCTTCTCTTTACCGAACCCTGGGGCTCGACTGTCCCCTACTCTGGCTCCGGGGCCGATCCGCTCCAGGATTTCGCACGAGCACCTCAGCAGGATGGCGAGGTTTAGGTCCGCGTCGGGGACGGGAGGCGTGCGACTAAAGTGAGGCGAGGTTACCAGGCTGCTCGCAGTTGGGAGCCGCGTTTTGACTCGTTTTGAGTTTGTCATTTTATTTTATTTTCAATGGGGAAACATCGGTGTGAAATCCAGCGCTTTGGATGATGCAGGGGTTGGCGGATCATGGAGAGTGATCGTCACGTTGACAAGATTCCCATTTTACAGACCTATAAGGTGGCTGCTAAATTGCAGTGCAGCAAGTAGGTTGAGCCAGGTGCAGAAGCTCATGCCTACAATCCAGCACTTTGGAGACGATAGTCGGTGGATCACTGACATGTGAAACTCTCAAACGCGCTGAGCTCTGAGGGTGCCAGGACATGGGTAGCGCAGTGAGTGGATTCTTGAATCCTTTCATGTAAACCTCTGAGTGGTATCCCCTAAAATGGGTGTGTGCGTTCTCCAGGCACTCCCAATACCTACTACACGCATTGCTAATCGGCAAGGAAATTGCAATCATCCTCAGCAGGATCCCTTTTGAAAACGTGTGTTGGATGCTCACTTGGTTTCATGAGTAAAGATTTATTCCAATAATTGTTATTTATACCTGCTATGTATTCTAACTCTTTGGTTTTTTCGGTAAAGTCACGTAGGTAAAAAATCTAATCAAATAAATGAAAACTAAATTAAATCACGACGTTTTGGGCGCATCACAAGCGCCCTTCTTCAGGTGGGGACAACATAGCTTGACTTTACCGAAAAAAAACAAAGAGAATGAATTCTTGCAGTCACGAAAGCTTCAACTCTGTGTATTCTAAATCCAAGGAGTCATCATTTACAGCCCCTTGTAACTCCACTACGAGATCAGTTGAATCCCGACACTTGGTCATGGGGGTTGTTTGACCATACTTCAGATAAGTGCGGGTTGGTAAAGGCGAGTGGGGGCTGGGGGGGGGAGAAACTCCCCAAGGACCGCAGTGTAGATATCTCTCCCGGTTGATGTTGCCAGTGGCTGAGAATCAAACTTAAATCATTGGTTTCATAGCCACCACCAACTACGCTCCCTAAACGCAGCACTCATTCTTAACATTGCTGTTAGGTTACTCGGTTTCGTCATAATGTGTTATATTTCCTAGATGAAACTCAATACATTCGTCAAAAACACTGCCTGAAAAGGAAATATATAATAGGTGGCAATGGCCCTTCTTAATAGCACGTTTTTATAATGCATTACATACATTAAATGTTTTCCCATAGAGAATTTGTAATATTGACTCCATGCGCATTTGAATTGACAAGGTGGGCGAACATGAATACGCAAAACTCTGTGCATGGGGACCATGTGAGGCACTCGCGTTTGAGCAACTCTGTAAGTTGCGCATAGCTAAGAGCAGGATTAAGGGGGAGAAATCCCACAATCCTGTGCGTACTGGCTTCCAAGCCCCCATTCGCCCCCATTCGAGAGTACACGGTTTGTGTGTTGCAAGTGTGCATGCCGGGCGGCTAAAATGCAGCAAATTGGCACAGTCATCTCAGTCGTTCAACCCCATGGCACCTGGGTCTGCTCCGTGACCTCCTGCCAGCAGTCAGCCTTCGACACTTCACATGGTCTCGGAGTGCACCTGGCCTGGCACAAACGCCGTGGTGACGTCACCCCCGCTTAGTGGCGAATGGCGGCTGTTGTATGTTAGCATATGTACATGTGCGCGACGCGTGGTTCATGCATACACACGTGTGTGTGCGCGTGCGTGCAATGAACTTGCACGGGTAACACTCCCCTCCACCACAACCTCTGCTCCCCACTCCTCTCCCCTCCCCCACCCCACAGCAAATCGAAACTTCACTGACGGCTGCCGTGCTGTGACGAGCGACAACTCCCACGAGGATTAAACCGTGATCTGAAAAAGGGGATGATGGGAGTTGTGCATAAAGGAGGGGGGGGGTCTTTTTTGTTAGGGGAGGTGGAGGGAGGGAGGGAGGGCTGGGGCTGACAATCGGGTCATTGGGATCTGGGTTAGGGTCAGGCTATGGCGATGCTGGGATCGGTGTTGGGACAGGATTGAAGGCAGCATTGAGGCCGGCAGAAGACGGGAATTGCTGGGGTCACATGGCACGCCTCCGCATACACTCGACGTCTGCACACGTTCTCTGAACGAGCAGGATGCGAGTTTATCGAACGGTGAGGTGGGGATTTTGTGATTATTTTCACGGGAGGGACATCCGATCCCATACCAACGTCGTGCCCTCATTAAGTGAACAGCGAAAATATTAATGAAGCATCACGCAAAAAATATCATTTCAGCAAAGTCGAAAAGACCTTTAATTTAATGAACTTTCTGGCTCTTTATTGCGCGATGGTGCAGCTGGATGGATGTTGGCTTTCACAAAATAAAATTGGAAAACTAAAGAAACGTGTTGTGAGCATTAGTCAGCGTGAACCTGTGTGTGTGTGTTTTGTCTTGCAAGGCTGCTTGTAAACCATTTTGTGTTCTTGGCTTGGGAATCTCAGTCTCTTGTGGCTCTTATAACCAGTCAGTGTCAAGCGGTCATCACAGCCAATGCAATTAATACCACCACACCTTGCCAATTTCCATTAGATCCCCCTAGTTGTAGCAAAGTCAACACCTGACCTTCAATGCCTGTTCTGGCAGTCTCATCACCACCACCAGTCAGTACTCCTTCAAGAGCCAGCTCCAGTCTCAGCACCATCATCTGACTTGAGTTCTTACCCTTGGTCACTGACCACTAGGTCCCACCCCAATGCCCGTCTCCATGTCCTGTCCTCATCCATCCTCCACACGTCAGAATCAGCATCTTTATTTTAACTGGAGGAATCTGATGAGCGATGAAGCTCTTTTTCACATGTCCAGGAGGCCATGTGCCCCACTCATCGCAATATCCGATTCCCCATTGACATCCACATGACTTGACAAAGCTCCTCAGTCACTCACAAACTATACAAATTGGTATCACATTTAAACGTTAAATCCGGTTTAATGAAATTACACTTGAGGGAATGCTGTGAAGTTTTTTTCGAGTGTTTATTTCATCACCAATCCGCCTTTAGGTCTCACTCTTGTTTACAATTGACACGTCCTTCAAGCGTTTAGTTTCTAATGTAAACGGACGAAATGTGAATGACACCAACACCAGCTTGTGGAATTTGCGACGTCCACTTAAAGCCTTGCCTTTCCACAAGCCATTTAACTTAATTCTATCAATTTTAACCACTTTTTAAGTTGTCTGGTGTCACTCGATTTAACAATGGCCAGCATCACTGCCATACATGCTTGTATTTTTTTTTTTAAACACGTGCTTTATAAACTCCGTCGATCGGTAAAATTCATATCAGGGGAATGTTTTTCAGAAGATGACGTCACATAATTATGACGTCACTTCAACAATCCTTTCGCCCGACACTGGAGATTTTTGTCCGGGTCCTCTGGTTTCTCCCTCCACATTTAGAATTATCGTGCGTTTAGAGTATTTGGCTGCTATAAATGTCCACGTGATGAGCCGCTTTGTTGAGCTCGCATTTGTGGCCAGGAAAAATAGCTACATAGCTCAGTGGGCCTCACCTGGTCAAATAAATAAAAAATAGTTTAGTTTATAGACGTCAACCCACTGATTTACTACTTAAACGCCCCACGGGTTGGTTGCAGATTGTTTGGCTGCCATCATTGGAGTTGGTAAAACTCCACGAAAGATTTCTCGAAGGTCTTGCTTCGACCAGCCGATGTCATCGTCCAGCAACCTTCCCGAGAGCCACCGCTCGTTGTAGACCGTGAGGCCACGGTCTACGATCCGCTCGGGTTTCTGTACGAGCAGACGCCTTTGCACGCAGACGCACACCGACAACGCGTTCTATAAACGTACACCTATGGTGTGACGACATCAATATCAACGAAAACATTTAATAAATAAGATGATTCACGCAGCCCGCTAGCAGAGGAGCACGGTGGGGAGCGGGGAGGGAGCTGGCATTCAGTACTGAAGGGGGGTCATGAACTCTTGGTCCAAGCGAGCGTCCTCAAAGTATTGCCTTTGAGGTTGGGGTCTGGATCGAGGTCGTTGCTGGGGGGATTTGGAGCGGCCTGTATGGTGGGGCCACCCATCCTGCTGCTGATGCTCATCACCGCCGTCGCTGTTGTCCTCCTCGCCGTTGACCCAGAAGCCACGCGCCTCCCGTCTGAGCGGTACCCGGCGCTGACTGCCATCATCTGCGACCTCGTCCCTGGTGGTTGGTGATGGTGGTGGTAGTGCTGCGGTTAGCGCGCTGCGCGACGAACCTGGCGACCCGAAATCAATTCCAGCTCATGGTCAACAGCAATGCCTCACCGAGGTCGATTCAGCCTCAAAATGAGTTCCTCGTGCGGTGTGTAAACATCGCCACTAGGGATACAAAGGCGGTCGTGCGTGGTACTGGCGACCCACCGCCTTGTGTGACATTGCGGCCTTCATAGGTGCTCGCTAAAAGCACTTACCCCAACAGTATGTTAAAGCTATACGGGGATCTTTGTCTTTGTGTGTACAGGTGAGTGTGTGTAAAGGTGAGTGGCAGGTCAGTGAATGTGTACAGGTGAGTGTACAGGTGAGTGTGTGTACATGTGAGTGTGTAAAGGCGAGTGAGTGTACAGGTGAGTGTACAAGTGAGTGTACAGGTGAGTGTGTAAAGGCGACTGAGTGTACAGGTGAGTATACAGGTGAGTGTACAGGTGAGTGCGCACCTGCGAGCCCCAGTGAGGAGGGCGCGGAGCGCATGTCTCGCCGCTTCCTCCCCCAGCAGCTTGCTGTAGCGATGCGTGAAGAAGCCGTCCACGTGTCGCGCAGAGCTGCGGCAGGGTAAGGGGGGAGGGGGACGCATGACAACTCAGTGACTCACCCACCCACCCAGATGCTCACCCACTCACCCAGGTGCTCACCTACCCAGGTGCTCACCCACCAAGGCGCTCACCCACTCAGGTGCTCACCCACTCACCCCGGTGCTCACCCACTCACCCAGGTGCTCACTCACTCACCCAGGTGCTCACCCACCAAGGCGTTCACCCACTCACCCAGGTAGTCACCCACCCAGGTGCTCACCCACCTAGGCGCTCACCTACCCACCCAGGTGCTCACCTACCCAGGTGCTCACCTACCCAGGTGCTTACCCACACACTCAGGTGCTCACACACTCACTCACTCAGGTGCTCACCCATCCAGATGCCCACTCACCCACCCACTCACTCAGGTGCTCACCCTCCCACCCAGGTGCTCACCCACTCAAGTGCTCACTCACTCATTCAGGTGCTCACCCACCCAGATGCCCACTCACCCACCCACTCACCCAGGTGCTCGCTCACTTACTCACCTATGCGTTCACATGCCGACCTATATGGTACCTGTCGAGGTGCCTACCCCATCGAGACAAATGTTGACTCACCTGGGCAGATAGAGTTCTAGTCCCACTCGAGCCCGAATCCCAAACACAAGCCAGTCTTGGTCGCGGAGACTCACATGCGAGGTGGTGGGACTCCTCCCCGGAGGTCGTGGGTTCGATCGCGGGACACGGTGTTGATTCCGACGATCCCGCGTCTGTACCGGTCGGGCCCGGGGAGGGAGAGGCGAGGGAGTCGACTTCTGAGAGCGTAGAGGGCCCCTGTAAGGAGACATCAACAGATCGAGAGCTCGTGAAGGGTTTGACTGTAATTGTTGATGTTGTTACGTGACGATTCATCATCATAACAAGCATCGCTAGTACGATCATCAACACTGACGCCGCTATCATAATCACAAGAATCAGAAGTGTATTTGGGGCCGTCCATAAATGACGTCACGCACTTAGGGGGGGGGGCAGACATTTGTGACGATGTGTGACGAGGGGGGGGGGGGTTGAGAAATGTGACGTCACATCAAAATGCGCAACTTTAAATAAATATAGAGAACACGTTCTACCTAATTAAATAGACTTTTTAATAAATGTTTTCTCCTACAACATCAGAGTGCAGCGCCACATTAAATAGCACTACAATGACAACAGTTTAAAGCGATTTGAAGCATGTTTTATTTGGGGGGGGGCAAAGCTTTGTGACGTCATATTTGAGGGGGGGTCTGATTTTTTGTGACGCCGTGCGACGAAGGGGGGGGGGGGTCAAAAATCGTCCCAAATCGCGTGACGTCATTTATGGACGGCCCCTTTCCCGAGTAAAGCCCGTTGAGCCATGAAGCTCTTTGTCAAGGGCGACTCGGCAGCAGAGCACTCGTGCCAGTGTTTTCATCGGTCAATAGCGATCATCACTTCACCACTATCACCGTCCTCATTAATATTGATATTTTATATCGCCTCCAAACCTCCCCTCCTCTCCCTCTAACTCTATCCACGTGTCTCGTCTCCCTCTCTCCATCTCGCTCGATATCTATCTCTTCTCTCTCTTCACTCTCTTCTCCCCCTTTCCTCTTCTCCCTCGCTTCGTTGAGCTACCATTTGTGGCCAGGTCGCTTCTGACAAAAAGAGCTGTCTAGCTCAGTGGGCCTTACCCAGTAAAGTAAAAGATAGTTTAGTTTATCTCTCCCTTCTCTCCAAGTGTATCTCTCTCCTGTCTATCTCCATCTCCCACTTTCACTCCCAATGTCTTGCCTGCCTTCCCCTCCCTCTCTCTACAAACGTCTCTTCCCCCCACTCCTCTCGTCCCCCCCGACCCTCACCTGCCGTGTCCTCCTCCCCCCAGACGAGAGGGAGGCGTAGGAGGTCCCCCGCCTTGGAGACCCCAGCCCGAGGCGGGAGGAATGGGGACGCACGCGGTTGAGCCGGGAGCGAGGCAGCCCCTCTGAGACCCACCACCACCATCAGCAGCAGCATCATCATCATCAGCATCGCTTCCCCGCAGCGTGCGCCGCGCCTCTCCTGCATGGCCTGATGCTGCGATTCGCAGGGGACGCACGCGGGCTCTGAGAAACACGCGGCCGTGCGTGCGAAACGATGGGGAAGTTGACGACAATGATGATGTTTGTTGTGTGCACGGTGGTTATAATGCGGTCAACGTGCGTGTGCGAGTGATGATGTTCATGTGCACGCATGTGGGTGACGATGTGTACGACTGATAATTATGATATAGGTATGTGTTATCGCCATCATCGGCCGTACTGTGTAGCATAGCGCTGGGTACAGGGTTGAAAGTGCGAGGAAAGGTTACAAAGCAAACAGAGCACATTTTCCAAACCTGCAAACGACCTATGTATGTGTACATGAAGATAGTGATGTTCGGATGATAATGTTGATAATGATTGGAACAATGCTCATCATTTATCCAGGAGAGCCTCACTGTGTCAAGACTCCTTTTAAGGACGGTCCTGCATTGGATTGTTTGGCCAATGCAATGGATGATTGGCACGCGGGAGGATAAGCGAAGATCACTGCCATCGACTGGCCACC